TGTTTCACTTCACTTTTGCGCTATTTTCCTGCTGTTTAACTTTTTTGCTACCGCTTGACTACCAATATATTCTGCCTTTGTGTTTTTCTGAGAGCGGTCCTCTTTTATAAGGAACTTTATTTCCACTGGGGTAGGAGTATATAGCCGGACAATACAATAATACAAAACTTTACAGGCTGAAAAATCTCAATGAGCGAGAGCAACATAAATCAAGAATCGGTTCCATAGACAAAACGAATCTGATGGTCAATATCAACGGTCTTGCGTAACGCGTCGACGTTGCTTACCAACGGACAGCGATTTGATGAACAACATCTAAAAAAAAAGATAAATAAAAACACATAACAAATATTAATCTTGAACGTTAACTTTGCCTCAACACCACTCATATGGAGAGGCCGATGAGAATGGGAAAACGTAGTGAAATGACTATTCCGCACTCTTTAAGTATCCATCTTTATCTGCATGCCACCAATAATAATAAAGAAAACAAGTAAATCAAGTTTAAAATCAAATCCTACAAGTGGAAAAGATAAGGAAGAGCAGCTTTTCGGTCACCTTCTTGCTTCTTCTACAGGGGTGGGCGCGGATGTTGAGTTTTCTGTGTGTGCCACTACATGGCCAAGAGTACGTCGTGCACCTGAACGGAACTATATAAACTAGTCCGGGCAATAGAAGTGACTAGGGGAAGCAGGGAGAGGGAAGCACGTGGCGAAAGACACTTCGTTACGGTCCGGTTCGGTGGAGTTCATTTCGAGAATAGCACTGTGGGATGTCACATTCCCAACATGTGCCACTCTGTCGCTAAACATACGAGCACCTGAACAAAGAAATTCACAAATTCACAACTTGGAGAAGAAAATGATTGGGCTAAGAAGAAAGGCTCACCTGCAAATGATGGGAGTGACTTTTCGGTGCATCCAACTAGGACAACCTATGTGAGCGGAATTCCCTGGAGAGTGCGAACTCATAATGAGAACAATTGTTCCACTTCAACGTCCCAACCTACGAGCTGCAATGAAAAAGTGAAAATGCTGCTCCCAACAGCAAACTAAACAGAGCGCAATGAGGCAGAACAAAGAAAAATGAGAAAATCACGAATAGGAACGAGAAAATGAAAAAAATCACGAATAGGGAAGAGAAAAATGAAAACAAATCACGAACAGGAAAGAAATGATTGATTAGAGCCCTGGAAAATATTTATTTTTAGGCGTGGGATACGGTAGCGCGCAGTAGCGCGCAAGTGGTGTAATCACAACTATCAGAGGGGCCAGTGTCCGCTTTGCATAGCTCAGGTGTCGGCGAATTTGCTTAATAACCAACCACTATTGATTATTTGACGTCGAGGAGAGAGACCCCTCTCTGCTGAAACGAAATTTTTTTGAAAAAAAAACGGTGACTTCCCTGGAAAGCTGTCTAGGCATGCAGTCGAAAGATTCCGTAAAATATAGTAAGTGAGAGGAGTTGGGACAGAGAAGAAATTTTGGTGTTCCTCTTATCTTTTTCCAGAAGTACGACCAGCAATGTCCGGGCGGGTGATATGGCGCGTCAAAAAGGAGGATTGCACAGCCAAATGCTTTTCATCGGGCCACCTACGTCACCTCCCTGCCCAAGCGACGAAATGTGACCCCCCTCCCCTGGGTTTCTTTGACGTACGCTCGGCTCTGATTCAGGGCAGTGCGAATACAGTCTTGTTCGTTGCGGATGAAGGGGTGTGCCAGTGACGCTAGGTTTGGCGCGCCGCCAGCCCCGTTCTCCACCAAGCCTTGTCGCTTGCCAAGGAAAAAAGTAAACGGGGCTGCTATCTATGCCAAAAGCCATACCTCCTGACATGTCCCGTTATCGCAGCGATGTGCACTTGTCCGATCCTCCCCGACCCGCCTCCTCCCAAAGCTTACTCATAGCGTGCGCATACACAAGCATAGTCGGCGAGCCCTAGTTTCGCACAACAGTCGTTGTCAAGCTGCCTCGTGGCTTCATCGAACTGCATTAGCGCCAATCTTGGCTTCTTTCCCCTACCCCTAGATTTATAGTGATCCTGGAACTGCGATCTACCCCCGACGTTCTTCCCACAGGCTCAGTTCGGGAGCGACAGAGGGGGGGGGTGGGCATTCTGCACTTTGCTACTTCCCATCGATGTGTAGAGCCATAGAAAAATACTTCGTGAGCTTACAAGAGGTGACAGGTTTCACCATGGTGACTCGACGAGGTTGCTCCCGCTTCACAAGAGTTTACAGGTTTCACCAGAGTGAGATTGAAGCTGAGTATGAAGCAAACGAAGAGTTGAATGCTAATTTAGCTTGCCGTGAGTTCGGTAAAACATTAGAGAAGTATTCGGTGGCTTGCGAATACTTGCACTTACTGAGAAAATTAAGGTATAATTCTCGAAGTCGAGAGTGACAGTTAAACGAAGAAAGTTTTTCAGATTCATGACAATAAAGCAGAAGCGGCAAAGCGAATGCCACGGGTACCGCTTGTACAGGGTTTTGGTCCGCCGATATCGAACGAGAAAAACGAGGATGCAAAGCCGGCACCTATAGACAAAGACATCGGAGAAGGAAAGAAGACAAGGTTTCTATAAAATCGGAAAACTCCTCAAGCTCATCCAGACGACACACTGGAAGACCATTATTGCCTACTTGCACGACTGGGCACGATTTGGGGTGATCAGTAATAGTTCATTGAACGAGTTTTCTGCAAAGAGTTATTTGAAATTTTTCTAAGAAGGATTCCTAGTAAGATGTCTGCTTCTTCTACTGGTTCGCAAGAACGTCTGCTTATAGAGCATCTTTGAATAATATTGATTGCCTATGTGAGAACGTGCGTAGTTGTGCGAATAATCAATATCTGTTCCTCGATGTGTGGGTTGTGGTACTCTTTCGAACTGAAACTTTCCGATTTATCTCGCGTTCCAATTTCTGGTACGAGTTTTACTCAACTCTTTACTATTTTCAGAAGCCGGTTATGCCGAAGCCACCGTTTTTCGTAAATGCCTCGGATCCAATCTATAAATCCGGAGATCCAAACCAAGCGGGTGAGAAAGGCGCTGCAGTGAACATCGACAAAAATGTGGGAGGTTTTTTATAGTTAACTCTTTATAGGTTTACTTGATTAGCCTAATAATTACAAAACAATTACTCATAGCTGGTGAAAACTTGGGCTCTTGAAGTCACATTCAGCGCCCATTCTCTGGGCGGAGATAGAACTATCAATCTGCCCGCGTTTCTATTCTTTGCCTGGGGTGCGCAATAAAGAATGCAAGAAAATATAAGAAACTTAAGTTAGTGATTTTCATATCAGCCCATCCGAAATGTGCTTTTGAAGTAGCGCCCATGATTGATCGTCTTTTGCTGACCGCACCGCGGACGCGGGCGTTTTTGTGCTGCTGCTTGTGCCTTTCGATATTTGTTTCTCAGTGAAATGGCCCAAAAAGCCACCAGTACTGTCTGTAAAATGGTGAAACTTTTAACTAACAGAGCTACTTAAGAAGCTGTCGCCTGAGGAAAAGAAGAAATACGATCTGGGCTTCCAAAATAACGCTTTCAATCAATACGCACGTCTGATATGATATCAATACATCGGACGCTTCCGGAGATTCTTGACAAAGAGTACGTTGACTCCTCACGTTTCCCCTTTTTCTCTGTTTTTTTCTTTCTTTTTTGAGTCTTCTTTAGCGGTATGCGAACATCGGATCGATGTGCATTCAAGTGTATGTAAAAGACGGAAGGGGAGGGATGGGGGGGGGGGGGGTGGAATCCTCACAGGATTTCAAAAACTTGTTGTTTTTAAGAAGTTGATATTCGAGGCGGGTATTATTAGTGGAATATATGTATGGCGTTTGAATAGCGGAATGTGAAACCACCCGATCGATAATCCATCCAAATGTATATAAGTGAGGAAGGGGGGGGGAGGGAAGGGGTGGTCAGGGACACTGGACTTTTCGGATATTATTCGCCGTGCTTCGAAAAACGGGGTAGATTCAGCCGCCGGCGAGGTATTCGAAATCTATGGTCACAATACGATTAATTCGGCCGCCACCCAGGTACTCGTAAGGGGGGAGGGGTCGTCAGCAGGAGCCCTCTCTTTTTCGCCCGCTTCTTCGTCGTTTCGTTCTCGTTTCTTCCATGAAACAATCGTTTGATGGATCCGCTACACAGAATCTTCCCTGTACAGTGTGCTCTCGTCACTGGGTGTGGCTGCGTGCTCACTATCGAAAAGCAAACTTGTGGCAAAAGGACGTAATGGCTCGCAATGAGTCCTCCACGGTGCTTTTCCGTGTGCTGCGTTGAAAAGGCATATTTCGCTAGAACCTTGAATGGTATAACGACTATACAACTTTGTGCGCTTGCGCTACTGGTGCGTCATTATTTGCTTGTATTTTTGAACATACGCTAAGGAGGATGGGACAATAGGAAGTTCACGGCAGTTATAATTCTCCGCCCATCCGGTCATCATGACATGTGCCCTCAGACGAGAGGGAACTCCTGTTTGTGATGATCGCACACCGACTGGTATGCGACAGGACAGCCCTGATAAGCTGCGCTGGTAAGCCTGGCGAACGATGCCCCTTCCAATGGACGAGCTGTCCTGCACGCTCCCTCAAATTTGGTAATTAAAGGGACGGAAAATTAAGTTTTGCTTGTCAGGAAGTAGAAATCATTTGAGTTGCGCTAGTTTATTTGATAAACTGTTACACACTGAGAATTTGCCGCGCATCACCGCACGATGCGTCTTCGCGCAAATGCAAGCGTCACACTGCCTTGGTCCTGACGTCTCCCTGCGCCCCACTCGTGTCTGTAGTTTTTCAAAAAAAGACGCCCTTTCCCCTACCCAACCCTTGCGCCGCCCAGCCCCGACGGTTTACAAACAGGAAAAGACAGACTGAACTCCAGATAATCTTGAGCTCATAAAGAGAACGATTTCTTTTGTAGATGTATTACTGAAAAATACAACGATGACCTGCCCGATACGTCTGTCGTCGTGTGTTTCCATAACGAAGCATGGTCAGTACTATTACGAACGGTACATTCATACTGAGGCGAACTGTCCTGATCGAATACTCCAAAGAGATCAATCCTCTGGTCGACGACTTCTCCGACATGCGCAACACACTAAAAGGTTGGCGGTTTGATCAGTTTAGATTCTATGTATAATGGTTGGTCGAATAAATACACTTTCCAGCTATGATCGGATGGCGGGACAAAGAAATGTTCTGTTTCAGCTGTAGTTTAAGTGCAGTATAGTTATATGTCACACTTTATGCACGCAATTATTGAGAAGCTCATGCATTAATAGTTCCAGTTCCAAGTTGTTGGCAAGATGAAATGTAAAATGACTTAATCGCGTAAAATCGATACGTGAACTTCATAATGTGTACTTTTGAAATGTGGTCATCTGCTCCTTATGGAAGCATTTCAGCCGCTATGAATCATTTCAATTACAGAACCGCTTGCTCGATATATGTCGCAGTTTCCGAAAGTGAAGATTTTACGGATGGAGAAACGAGAAGGACTGATTCGCGCGCGGTTGCGCGGTGCGGCAATTGCAGAGGGAAAGGTGCTGACTTACCTCGATTCGCACTGCGAATGCATGGAAGGTAAGACGGTTATTCTTGCTAATCGTTTGGTGTTCATGCTTGGCAACGGGGCTTTGGGTTGTGTCACTAACCGCACCGCGAACGGCGCGCGTCATAGTAACATGCTGGTCCATAGCAGCTCAAAACATTTAATAAAAGTACTTCGACCGCTATTTGCCTCCATCCTAAAAATGTATTTTTAGGATGGATCGAACCATTATTGGATCGAATCAAGCGAAATCCGACCACGGTAGTGTGTCCTGTGATTGATGTCATCGACGACAATACCTTTCAGTACCACTACTCAAAGGTATTACTTCATCCACCGGTGTTACTGCGCCTTGTGCTGTCCAATAATTTTTAGGCATATTTCACGAAATTGGTTTTATTTCCCCCCCCGGTGGCTTCGATTGGGGTCTACAGTTCAATTGGCATCCAATTCCTGAACGGGACAGGAAGTTGCGTTCAAGGGCTATCGATCCCGTCAGGTGAGCACTCGTTTCAGGGCACAGTCCACACGGGTCGTAGGCGTGTGAATATGGACGAAAGCACCCAACCGCTGCGCTTTCATGACTGATGCTACCCTTTTGGAACAGTGAAGTGCAGCGTGCCTGAGGGTGCCATCTGTTGGGTGTCTCCACCCACACGGCCAGTGTAGACTGTGCCGCTGCTGTGCTATTCGAGTTTCGTGTGGCAGGCTCAGCCTGAATCGTTGCTGATTACGTTTTTTTTTCCTTTGCTTACAACCTAACCGCTTCAGGTCTCCGACAATGGCTGGCGGTCTTTTCTCTATCGATCGAGCATATTTTGAAAAACTCGGTACCTACGATCCGGGTTTCGATATCTGGGGAGGAGAGAATCTGGAGCTGTCATTCAAGGTACACCTAAGTTTTAGCCTGCTCTTAAAGCAAGCCCGCGATCATTCGCCATAGCACGTGGTGGATTAGGGGTTTGCATATGGATGACACGGTGATGAGCAACTCGATAGTGAAGAAAAAAAGCAGAAAAAATACATGCCAACTGCTCTGAATAGAACCCCAATTTCGATCTCCGTTTGTACGTGCCCAATGAAATCCATCTCCATTACTACGCCCTCATCCGCACAGCTGATTCTCCGACGATAAGATTTCTACGACCATACAAGTAGGCGCTTTCAAGTATTTCAACCGAACAGCTCAGTTTTTCTTGAGGCGGCCCCTGAAGGTGTATCTGGAGGCAAGAAACTTGGAAAAAGTAGGCGTCACCGAACCTATAATGCCCTATAGCTCCCTCCCATCCCTTACCTCGAAACCGATGCAAGGTTCGTCGAGGACCACATACCCTCCCGACGCCATACTTCCATTTCTACACGTGATCGCGTACCGTGCCTTCGGAGGAATATTCCGCAGCAGTTTGGTGGGTCAGAATGGGCGAAGAAGTCGCAGCCGTTAGGTTTCCTCATTGGCGCGTCCATCCTCCTGACCGTAGTAGAAGGAGGGCGCACTACTGAAAACCATCGAATGGGACATGTATGTGGGTCTCCACCCTTTTCTTTTTTCGTAAGATGTACGCGGATGTCTTTAGTTCGATGCACGTAGGCCACTGTCTCGGCTCAATGTCCTGTCTTGGTGGCTTACGTATGATACTATCGCTGCGCAATTCATGCGTCATGCCCCACAAAATCGTCACCCTCAGCTCAAATTCAGCCATTATTTCTAATTCCTAAATTATAGCACTGAAAATGTGTGTTCCTTAGATATGGATGTGTGGCGGAACACTGGAAATTGTCCCATGTTCTCATGTTGGGCATATTTTCCGAAAGCGGTCACCTTACAAATGGAGGTGAGATTTTTTTCCACATCATTTTCAAAATTTCATTGTGAAGGATTTATTCTTTTCTAGCCGAGTATTTTTTTGCCCCTTCCAAACTCGATGTCGATATAGTACCAACAGAACTTAAAGACCCTTTTCACGATGATGAGATCGGGTAGGGAGTCGCTACCATAGTACCTTCCTCGTGAGCGTGCTCTTGGTTTTCGCCGTATTAAGATGTCAATGCATCAGGTGAGGGAGCTACCATGGTCAAGAGTCTCCGCCCATGAGATCATCGCGGAATGTGGCTTGGAGAAGCTAGTTGTCTGAGCAGTCTTTCACGTTCACCTTTCAGAAGTGGAGTTAATGTACTGAAAAGGAATTCAGTTCGATTAGCCGAAGTATGGTTGGACGATTACAAGCAGTATTATTATGAACGGATCAATAATCAACTGGTATATTTGAAAAGTTCAATAAATGAAAATTTGTTGCGCTTTCTGTCCAATGGTCCTGTCCTATGCGCGAGAGTAGCGAGGACTCGAACTCGCATCTGTGTTTCCCGAGCATCACGCTGATCCGCTGCACTACAAAGATTCCATCTTGTGCGACTGTAGCTCTCACTCGATGTTCTTGCTGGAAATCGTCCTTGATATTACGTTTCAACTCATTCGGGCTGACCGCTCTTCAATAGACTTCTCCTTCATCGCTCCTAATTCAGAAGCCTAGCGCCAGTTGGCTGGCCCTTGAAAGATGGATAGAGGTCTTGGCTGACGCGGATTGGCATTCTCTCAGCCGACCGTTCTTATCACCCCATCCGCTCCACCCGGGACTGTGTCATTAGGTCCAGCTTTTCAAGCTCCTATGAAATCCGGATCGCGCGAATTAGCTACGGGAAAACAGCCCCACTTCCAGATACCCTTGTTCATTATCCGAGTTGGGAGGATGCGCAGAAATTCACTCTGCGCAGGTATTCCCCTATCTGGTTGACGCGGCTTATTGTGGTTTTCATTTCTGAGCAGGTTCCAATGCTTACTTCACTCCAAAGCGCCGTTTTCGCCGCGCCGGCGCTACTCAGATCTCCTGACCCACCCCTTTACATTCCAGTGAAAGCCAAGTAGGTGACAGCTAACGATCATTTCCATTTCAGGGTGAAATTGGCGATATTACTGAGCGTAAGAAATTACGTGAACGTCTTGGTTGCAAGTCGTTCAAATGGTACCTTGATAACATTTTCCCAGAGTTATTCATTCCTGGTGAATCGATTGCTAAAGGAGAGGTAAGTCTTCAGCTTCATCCCCAATTTCCTCGAATTTTTCCTCTCCTTTCTAGGCTCATTTCCTTTTCTCTCTCTTTGTTTCTTCGTTTTTTCTCGAACACGGCATCAGAAGGCTTCGCTCTTCGTATTTGGAGTATGCCGACCCGAAACGGAACCTTGTCTCGTAACGCTTCTCCAAATTGTGCGGGGGGAAAGACCTTCCAGGAGGCTAGCTATTTTCTCTTTTTCCAAATTATTGCTTTGTAAGCTTTTCTTTCACGCCTACTGGTGCCGTGTATTTGCACTTTCTTCTCTACTTTTCTCCTTCTTTTCTGAGTAGTAGTTGTGTTAGTGCTAGTGGTGCAGGATCGAAAGCTCCCAAGTTTTTTACACATAATGCTAAGCTTTTGTACCTAGGGTAGTTCGTGTTCAGTAATGTAGCCCTTCGACCAGGGATAGCAACAGCCACTGTTTGGTATTTCCGATTTTTGGAAAATTGATCGAAATCCGAGGAAGGCTTGATCTTTTTTTTGCAGACCGCGGTAGAGGGCGTCCTTATCCCGCTAAAACGTTTTGGCCAGATGTTGGCATACTTGCGCGTTAGGCAGCGTTCAGACTTCGCGACGGCAGCTTTGGTCGCGCGTTCGACGCGATCAATGCAGTCGAAAGCATGATGCGCATCGATCGCGTCGAATGCGCGACCGAAGCGCTGCCGTCGCGAAGTCCAAATGCTGCTTCTTCGTGCTGAGAGCCAATGACTGTGTCCCTCTCACTGCTGAGCCCTCTAAGGTGACAAGCGCGCTGATCGGTGCCAAAATCAATATTATTTTGTATAATCGTACTGAATTAAGGGCGTTGTTTGTCCCAGAGGGGCTTTTTGCACCATCGTTTTCTTTTCCTAACTTATTTCGAATTACAGGTCTCATTTTGGTGAAAGGTGTAAATTTCTGTGGTGCGGGAGAGCCACTTTGGTCACAGGTCTTCAAAGGTTTCCACGAGGTGGCCTATACAAGCTTGGCTGAGAATCAGGTGCTTCCACCAAGCCGGACTGCATCGTTACACACTCCTTAGCAGATACCGAATTCCATGGCTAGGTACAGCAGCATCAGATTGAACGCCAGTGACAACACTAGGGCAGCGGTCGCACTTTTGCTCTGGGGAGGGGCAGTCGGATTAATTTTTTTTTAGTAACTGCACTATATCCATTCTGTAACGTACCGTTGGCAACTATAACGTTTGCATAATATTTGTACCCTCCCCTGTCGACAACTTATTTCGCCGACTACTAATAACTATCGTCTCGTTCCGTCGGCCGAAGAAGCATGGAGGGCGGAGGGGGGGGGGGGGCCTCCTGCCATGCGACCATCGAATGGGCGGGGGGTGCGTCTGTACTCCCATTGACATTTCCGCATATCCCATTACCGGTCATGGCTACTGTCCTGCTGTCTATATGAACCTGAAATTCAAAGCCGTACAAGGAGAAGAGTGCTGGAAAGTTGGCTTAGCAGGGCAACATCCTTGGCTGGGGATTTTAGGTCGACCTCTATACCGAACCCCCTTTTGGGAGTGGTAGGACCCCTCCCGCCGCTTCTCTGTCCTTCCTCATCAAATCGAGCCGTCGACCGGGGGGGCGATAATAGTACATTGGAAACCAAGTACCGACCAAGCGATAGTTTGTGCGAGCGCGCCGACTCTCCGGAACCAGACGCTTTGCTTGACCAGGCGTGTGGAGAGCACGGCTGAGATGACGGTCATTCGATCTTGCCCTCCCTGCTGGCAACCAAATACGACTCACTATTGGGGGATCCAACATACCACTATCAACTCCCACTTGAGTGTGAAGTTTTCAAAATGGCGAAATCCCTGTGTAGCTTATCGTTCCAGCAGCATTAACACCGTGACTGTTCTCTTCCTGTCCTTCAATCATTCGTCCTCTTTATTAGTTCCTTCACATCCTATTTTAGTGCTAGATTAGTTCTGCTTTTACCATTCTCTTAGATTAGTTGCATGCGTTGTACAGTTTAATTTTTGAAGAGTGTTTTCTTGTAATTTTTTGGTGTTTTTGGGCGGCGTAACTGGTTGCTGTCCAACGTCGTGTAGAGAGCAATTACGCTTCAGAAGGTACACCTCTAGGGTAATCATTTTTTGAAGTGGGCGGTCAGACGATCCCGAATTTCAATGCGAATCGCTCGAATTTGTGTTGTGTTGTTACGGTAACTCGTGTCCTATGTCGATTCTAATAGCATGCGCTCGCTTAATGGCTTTATTCCGTTTTTCAGTTATAGATTACCATCTTGTTCCATGATCCAATCAGTATTACTGAGTCGGAGATGGGAAAATGCAAGGCATAGTGGAGCATAACCTAAAGAACCTGTCCTACTCCATTTGGAGAGGCTGAATCGAATTGCCCTAGAAAATTTGGGAACTATTTTCTTGCGTTACTGGTGTTTTATGCGCCTTCTCTGTCAAACTGTAAAGAGCATTTATAGAATTGCATGTCAGGGCAGATTCGGCAGCAGTGCTTCTTGTATCAGGCATCGCTGAATGTGAAAGTAGCCGTACGTGGCATAGCAGCCGAGCGCTCCCCGCTTCATTTCATTCGGATCTTCTAAAGTCTCATAGATAAGCTCGCCATTAGACGAGTCCGCGCGGCGTCGCGAAATACTAGATTTGAAGGAAAATTTCACTACATTTCGAACGAGCTGTTCTAGAGAAAATCAAACTTGTTAGCCTCTGATTACTGTGGTGTGCTGATCTGATTGTTACAATTAATATCTCACGTCCACGCCATCAAAAACGGGGCTTATGGGTTCACTACGTGAAATGAGCAGCGTGCTATGGGTAATCAACAGAGGAAAAGAAAAGAGAAAAATCTTTTGAGACGTGGCTCGGATAGGACATCATGCCGAATCGAGTTTATATGAGCATAAGACGAAGACAGGGCGTGCTCGGACGAGTTCTCACTTGATGGTATCAATTTGTAAAGAAATAAAAGGCATTCACGACTTCATATATGAGTGGGGGCAGTCACACTGATGAGCCAGAGAGTGAACTAGTGCTTCCGGGACCCTCTGAAGAGGAGCACAGCACACCCTTTTGATTCTGCTAGACAAAAGAAATTCCTTGGACGTCGCAAGCGGACGAATATCGAGAGTCGCTGCAGTAGATTTGAGAGAAGGGTATCTGTCATTGGAGGGAGGTCTGTAATTGTCGAGAGCGAGCCAAATAGAGTCGCTCGGCATGCAGCTCTAGATATATTGAGATCGTATGGAGATATATACATCATGAGATCTCTAGGTAGAATTTCACCAGCAATATGGAGCGAGCGTTATTGACGGTACACTGCTCATAATATCACCGAGCTCCGTGAAAACTTCTGCAGTGTATTTTCCTCGTGGCAAAATGTGCCACGACTTCTGGAGCAGCATCGTCCTGTTCTGTTGGAGTCCACGCGGGATAAAACGTTGAAGTTTCATCATGCATCGTCGATTTCTCGGCAAATCATATATCCTCAGCTGTAATCGTTTGTGCCAAAACTTGAAAGCTACGATATACTAAGGACCGAGGTCTCAGACATAACCAGGCCGTTACTTATAATCTTTTTTGATGCGAAAATCGCTTCTTCGGACGGGTCGTACAGGGATCCAGTTTTCGACTAACTCACAAGCTCGATTAGGAATAGTTTGTTGGTGATCCACATAGGATGCCATTCAGAACATCAGTTTTTGTATTGTTATCTGTCAGTTAACCAATCGCCAAAAGCGAATCCCCCCCCGAACCGAATTTATGACTGTTGGCGACGGCACCAACCATTTGGTATACTCGCTACGGTTATCCCTAACTAACTTCATCTGCGCAACCATTGCTCAGTTTCACTTACTTCCCATTTCCTGGAGTTTTTCGGATATATTTTGAGGGTTTTTATAACGGGCACCGTTTACTTCGGCGAACGCCCTGCCCATCGCAGGTGTGCTTCATTCATTGCGTCCGCCAACTGTTTGCCTATCGTTTCCCCAATTTCCGCTCTTCGGGATCTTCCGGAACCGAACTACGAATTTTTAAAAGTTTTGTAGCGAGCATCGCCCACCTATAGCACGCCTCGCCCATCATGGATGTGACTCCCTCATTTCATCCGCCAACTGACTGCTTATCGTTTCCCACAATTTCCGCTCTCCGGGATCTTCTAGAACCGAACTACGAATTTTTGAAAGTTTTGTAGCGGAGCAGCCGCCACCTATAGCACGCCCAGTCCATCACGGGTGTGACTCCCTCATTTCATCCGCCAACTGACTGCTTATCGTTTCCCACAATTTCCGCTCTCCGGGATCTTCTAGAACCGAACTACGAATTTTTGAACTATGTAACTCACAACTGTGCGCATGCCCCGCCCACAGTGGGCGGAGCTTAGCTCAGTTCATGTGTTCCGTACATCTTGACCCATGCCCTACCCAACCCACCCTTGACCCGCCCCTTCCAACTGGTTCTTCAGGTGATTCCGAATTTCCGGACAGACAGACAAACAGACAAACGTACAGACGTTGCCGTTTATATATAGTAGTGATTAGCGGAGGA